GCTGTATGTGCACTTGTAATAACAATAAAGATCTGTAGAATTGACATCTGTTTATGTTTTGGTATTTAGGATACTATTTTCAAGTAAAAAGATAAGGTGGTAGGAAAAGCAGTAGCAGTAGTGAGGAAGCAAGATCTCTTTTTGTTGTTTTTTTTTAAGATAACAAAAATAAATCTTCAAAAAAAAAAAATCATAAGCAGAAGACTTCTTTTCACCATTGGGATTCAATCCAAGACCTTGCACTTCACCTATTCTCTCTCCCTGGTATCCCCACTGTCTTTCTTAAAGTCCATTCTCAGAAGACTTACTCAAAGCCCATGAGAAAGCAAAACTGGTACCATTAACTTACTGTACACTGAGTATAGACCTATGTGATGTAATTGTATATCATATAGTTTCTTAGTGCCAGTTAAGTTGTTTGAAACAGATAAAAACAAAGCATCTAATTAAAAGGTTTAAAAGCATATGATAAAGTTAGGGATAGAACACAATAGGAAGGGAGAGTCTGAATTTTTCAGATATATCAGTTGTTTTAAGATTAATTCTAACCACACAGGACACTGATCATCAGTATAGACAACTTAATGAAAGGATTTTTTTCAATGCACAGCAGTATTTAAAAGAACAATAATCATTTTGGTATGTTTAAAACCAGACAGGAAATAATATATATCACATTTTGTGCATCACTAAGCATCAGAATAAACAGTGATTTCAGTATCAGTGGTCTTAAAATTTATGGTAGAAATATGCAACAATAAAAAGCCACCAATCTCAGATATAGGTAGTTATTAAAAACTAAGGAAGGATTTATTCTGTAAGTAAAATTGCCTATTTTATTAAGGATACAGAAGTATAATATTATCTTGTTTAGAATTTTTCATACTTCAAGTTCTCGAGACTGAGATTTTCAACATTCAAATGAGCAATGAATATACTTGCAGTTTTAGATATGGTGCCGTTTTAAGAGGTTTTTAAATATCTCATGCTTCAGGTCTTAGGTCAACAAATACTGGCTTGGAACAAGAAAGAAAAGCGTACTCTGGCAAATTATTTTATGACTATCGCACAGATTATTTTTTTATTTCTATGATTTCTTTAGAGCAACACAGTGAGTGGTAGCTTATTATACTCTTTAGAGCAGTGGTATAGTCCATCCCTGTACTATTATTATTCTCTGAACATGAAAATATTAAGCATTAATTACATCAGGAAGCTAAAATAATAATACAGATCTGTATTAAAAGAGTATTAGGTTTAACAGTTATCAATTTAAAAGTTAAAGGATTCAGAATTATAACTGGATCATTAAAGTGTTGGTTGGAAGGGATGTCTGTAAGTCATCTAGCCCATCCTCCTGTTTGGAGCAGAACTGTCATCATCAGGTCAGACATGACTTTTCCTACCTAAGTCTTGAAAACCTCTGAGGATGGAAATGCCACCGCTCTGGATAACCTGTTCTAGGGCTGCAGTGCAGCATGCAATGGTGCTTGCTTCTTAACCTTTATCATGACAGCATGCCTTTTTTTTCCTGACAATCCACCCTTTTCATTGTCCAGTATAAATCTAGTTTGCATTGCTCAAATTATGGGGTAAAGAAGGCATAGCTATGAGATCTTTGCTTCATTTGTCATATAATTAAGGAAACTCTTAGATAAAGCAAAAGGTGCCAAAGAAAATAACTGACAGCTGAGGCAGCTGAACACTGCACAGGCATTACTCCATCTCTGCCAGAGTTTTTGTTATGCTGATCATGACAGACCAAACTTTACCCAAGTAATCATTAACAGCATTCCTTGGTTTTCTGAATGCTGAATTTGAGACATTAGGGATCTGATTTATAGAACTACAGAAGTCAATAGCAACTGTGCTTTGAAAATATTTTGTGTTATACAATGTTAAGTACTCTGAACTAAGTAAATCTTAAAGAATTTCAAGTTGGATGCCCCAAATTTGTGGACATCTTCAGCATTACCTCCTTTTGCCTTATCTGCCATTTATCAAATTAAGATGCTATCATGTTACTGCCTCACCCTGTAAAAGTACATGAGTTCATATTTGTGAACCCCTTAGATAATGAGCATCATAAAAAATCTGAGGAGCTGCTGAATAACTTGATATTCAAAGAAGAATTTGAATGCTGTGCAGTAAATAGGTAATAGAACCACTCTTTTTGAAAAAGGAGAATATAAAATTTTGAAGAGCTTCCCTTTCACTAAGCAAACTTAATTCTGAACACGAAATGCAACAGGAAGACTTTTTTTGAAAAATAGTAGGTGATCATATAAAAGGTGAAATACAGTGCTGTTAACACATAAGAAGACTAAAGGTTTCACAGGCAACCTTAATTTTCATCTTTCCTAGCTTCCTTAAAGTGTTATAAAGTGGATATTTTAAATATGAAAGTTATACCTATAGTAGAATGTATATACTTGTATATGCACAATACAATAACTGTACTGAAAGATCAAGTTGAAAAGGTTCATACTTAGAGTCTTTGGATACATTGCAATCTGCTGCCACTTGAACTAACAAAATAAGCAAGAGTAGTGTTTTGATATGCTGTCACTGCACTGCTGCTAGAATGTAAGACACACAAACACACACTTCCTAGTGCTCACAAGATATATTTACTGACCACAGAGGAATGAGAATTCTCAGAAACAACTTCTTTTGTTTACTGTAGTAAACTGAACAGGTATTGGTGCTTAGCAATCTGTACTGTTAAACTGCTGTGTGGGTTTTGGCAAGGTTTGGCCAATACTGAATAGTACTGACCCAGACAGGACCCAGACATAGCACAAGCTTTAGCTGAGGCCAGAGACCATTCCCAGGAATTGTTTGGATGGGCCACCACTGTCTTGAGAAGGAGGAGAGTTTAGTTTCAAGGACATGAGGCTAGTAATTCCTTCAGATCCTAATAATTGTTGGCCAGTTTCATTTAGTAGTATAGATGTAGCAAAGATATTAGTGAAGATAATGTAGATATTAGTGAAATTCTTTTAATCCAGGTGTCTGTAAACTTTTCGTTTACATTATTTATTCTTCTTTCTTACTTTGTCCTGATAAAAACATTTCTCTCTTAAATGTGTTCAGCAGACAGCTGTAAGACATATCTCTGGAACAATGGAATAGGATTCAGGTCATGATCAAGGCATCTAAATGTAGGTATCTGAATGCAAACTGGATGCCATTTCCCATTATAGTCATTGGCAGTCTAGTCAATACAGTTAGCAGAGTACAGGGAATGATTCAGCTGACCAGCCACAACATACAGTGAGTGGCATCACTCTCTAGGATGCACTGACTTTGTCAACCTCATCTCTGACTATGGTAGGAGTTTACATACTTCTTACCCATGTCAATATGTAAAATGAGACATCCTAATCTGGACTGGAATCACAGCTACTGAGTTTTTCATGTAAGGGAAAACCACCAAAGTCAATCATTATTTGCATCATTTATTTTTCATGTTAAGTTCACCTTGAAATTTGCAGACATACAATTAATTACGCAACTTTCAGAAATCAAAGAAAGTGAGAATGTCCCATGTCATTTTTTTCCCCTGCTTTTTTCCCCCAAATCAAGTTTTCTGGCATTATTGATTCCTGAAGCTCTGTCACATCCCACATTCAACCTTTTGCCATAACACCACACATCTTTACATCTTTTTATTTGTAAGGTGTCTTAAGTGTATATTCTAGTCTGTTGTTTCCCAAAGAATAAATGTAGATTTTCTGAGGTTGCACTCCTAATCTTGATTAGAATTTTATCACAATATTTTAAGAAATAAGAAAAACACTTAAATTTAAATTTTTAAGCTTCTGACTAGTAAAAGAGCCAATGGTGTTTTGATGTACACACCAATGTGTTTCTTCTATCGTTCATACAATCAAATACTACCTCCTTTTGGAAATGATGTTTTATGGGTTTTTTTAACCAGCAGATATTTTAGCAAATAAGAGGAAACTGCTGTATTTCTTTACAAATTACGATGATGCTGTTTGATTCCTTCTGGTAGGTAGTGCTGTGCATAAAGTCCTACAGTTAGAGTCTACATATGAACATACAACTTCAAGCAAGAATGAGATGAATGTATTTATTTTTAATGAAGTAGTTATAGAGATGCAAATGTTGGTTGGGAGCACAATTATTCTGAGTAGAATGTGCTAACTTAATGCCATGTGGATAGAGCAATGTTATCCACACCACCACTTTAAATGAGACAGCATGGGTAGAAAAAGGTCTCTTTTTTTTTTTTTTCTCCTAGTCCTTACAGCAACAGGCATAAAAAGAGCTATAAATTTTTAATAACACACTATGAACTGTGCCAAAAAGTGCATTTTTCCGTACTTCCTTTTAGTGTGTGTGTATTAAATTGCATATAAAACTTGTTTAAAAAATATTCGATTTCCTTTTTTTTTTTTTTTGTTTTAGTGGTTACTGTTACTCTGAATCTATTCTCAGAAATTTCCAGAAATAAAACCAACACTCAGTTCTATGCTTTGGAGACTGTCAGTAAAAAGGCATCATAGTGTAAATTCACTATTATTATAATAACTATAAAAAGAAAAATTGCTAACAATACTCCTGACAATACTGGTTCTTCATGTGTTTTACTACCTACAAACTAACTAGCTAATTCATCACACTGTGTAATTTGTACACATTTCAACTCAATAGCAAATTAAAAGAAACACCATCAAGTTGATGAAATAGCAATGACCTGGTTTGTTTTATAAATTTGGGTTTTTCTGGAATTTATGTGTAGCACTGAGTATTTTTGGCTGGTTTTCAACAAGTCAGGACAAAACAGTCAAGTTTAAGGAGAGAACTGTTTTTTAAGGGCTAATAAATCAGTTCATGGCATAAGTATCTTTTGTTTCTGTACATAAGAAAGAACCAAGCAGCATACAAAAATAATTTTGTGGAGAGTAAGGGTTTTGTCATTTGTGGTGCTTTATCACCCTGTTTTTTTACAAGGTACTCTCTCATTTCAGAGCATCTTTGCCAGGGAGAAACATCCACTGAAAGTGAGCTTCCTGCAGGACACCCCGCTGAGCAGTTTGCAGGCTTACTTCATGGATCATCACCTGCTTGTGACCCACCTGATAATCCACTCCAGCTCTACAGCAAAGCAAACCAGTGCAGTGGTCCACTAGAGAAAAGTGTTTTGAGCAAGAGCACAGCGCAGCAGATACAGCTACGGAAAGAAAGCAACACTGATCCTCCTGTTAAGAAAAAAAAGCCACCAGTTGTAAACAGAACCATATTTCATACTAAAACTAAACCAGTAGAAAATCACACACTGGTTGGCACGTCAGCAAGGATAAGTGAACAATGGGTTATTACCACTGGGGGATTTGTGGAGCGAGCATGCACACTTGGCAGAATACGATCTTTACCAAAGACTTTGCTTGAAATGCATATGAGCAAAAACGTTTCGAAATCTGATTCTAATCTTATCACCCATCCACCAAATGACAAAAAAGCAAGAAGCAACTGGAGTGAACCCACACCAAACCAACAGTGCTCCAAAGGGAATTCGGAGAGAACACCTTCGTTCACATCAGAATGGGAAGAAGTAAGTTTTGTTCATTTTTAAGTACAAGCAAATATATGGTATTGTGAAAATATTTTTATTGTTTTCAGCTTCAGAGATTAAATAAAAAGTGAATCTTCCACACTGCAAATCCTCGGAGAGTATGCCATAGTGTAATGCATGGTAGTTTGACAGCTGGCAGAAAATGAGATGCATTCCTGTTCAAAATGCTGCTCACTTAATGAAGTCTATTGTTTCCATAGTGAATGAAGTTAACCAGAAGTAATTCTGCAATTTGTTGTGGCATTGAAATTATTTTCAACTAAAGCCTTCACCACTGACACAAATAAAAATGGTAAAATTCTTTGTAGCTATGTCCATTATTTACTTATTTGCTAATTATTTCCCACCATGGCAATGCATGCCTGCAATAGACAAGAGAAAATGGCGGGAATAGAGAGACTAAGATTTTGAGGTTGATAGGCATTCTACAAACCCTCCCTATATAACGTATCCTCTAACTGGTAGGTAGCCTGTGTACAGAATGGTTGGCACATACCTGACTCCTGTGTGAAGTGGGAATACACTTATAACTACAATAAATTCAGGACTATTAAAAGAAATGTCCGCACTGAGTTTGTAGTGCACATGCTTGCTCATAAAAGAGACTTTATTTTACATTTAGAACTAGATTTTAAATAATTTTTAGGCACCTTGGTTTTAATATTTTTTTTTCTTCTGTGCTAAACTTCAAGAATGTAAGTAACTCTTCATTGATGCAAAAGTTTCCATCTTACTGAGGTAAATTAGAAGTGGGAAGTACTTAGATCTTTACTGCTACTACAGAGAAACAAGCATTTCTCTTTAAAATGACTGCTATGGGGAAATGTATATATCTCCAGAGTGCTATTTTATTTCAGAAAGAGCCCAGAGCTTGTTTGTGTGATCAGTTATTTTTCTATAAAAAGGTTCCCAGCTCATCTAAATGTCTGATTTGCTAGGGCATCTGAAGGTAGTTTTTGTTGTAAAGGAGATACTTTCTCATTGGAAAGGTACTTAGGATCAGGTTTTGATCCTAATAACTTGTATACATTGTAATAAGATCCTGATTCAAGTCAGGTCCAAGTTTGCCTTTTTAGGGGGACATCAAGGTTTGATTGTTCTTAAGAGTAAGAAAAATGTAGTTTATTAAAAAAAAAAAAAAAAGTTATTAGTTCTAAATAATTTCCAGATTTTCTCCTGTCACCAGTGACTAATACATAGTTTTTAAAAAGGAGTCAGTTTTCCTAATAGTCCTAATATTAAGCTGCGTAAAACATGGTTTTTTGTGTCTGTCGCCTTAGACAACACCAGTCTTTTGATTCACTTTTTGTTTTGTCCTGTTCTTACAGATAATAAAATAGGTATAATAGTTTTGATGTAGTAAGTTCAGTGTAATTTAGAAATGTGCAAATGAGTTTGGGGATCCATGTAGTGCTGTTTCACAAACAATGTAATTCTGCGGTATGCAGGGACACAGCTGTGTTTCATATCTATTCAGTGGCTTTGGGGCAGATAGAAAAAAGGCAGCTAGGAAATTCTCTGGAAATCTTAACTGAACAATTGCTTTAGTACTTTATAACAGACAAAACAATATTCTTATGCACTAATATTACTGCTTAAATAGACCTCTGCTGGTTATATGTAGGTGACCAGAGTCATCGGTATGAAAGGAACTGTACAGCAGACAAAGAAATACCAATCATGCTTTAGCTTTTGCTAGCGTACAAATGTTGCAAAATAAAAATCAAAGTGAAGTTAATTGTCTAACTTTGATTTTTGCATTTTGCAATATTGTTTTTTTCCTAATGAGAGTAATAATGTTGTAAATTTATGCATGAAAAACTAAAATATAACAGAAATGGGGCCTGTCAATTGTTTTTACTGTTCTCTCTTTTGTAGATTGATAAAATCATGAGTTCAATAGATGCTGGAATTAATACTGGACTGGGAGAGATGAATGATCACATTACAAGTAAGAAAAACAACTAACTTGTTTAATTTTGACTTAACTGTCTATAGGGAAACTGTGGCTAAGATACTGCTAAGTAACCCACTGTGTTGAAATCATTTGTAGGTATTTGAATAACCATAAGCAGAATCAATGTTGTTTACTGTTAGAGATGCATTAGGTCCAGTATCCTGGAGCTGTTACTTTAAATAGCATATTGGAATCATTAATGTTGTTCTGAAATCTTACCAGAAAAAATATTCATTAATGTCTTCGTACTGAACCTTTCTACTACGGGGATATTTTCCAATCTTTTTCAGCTGACTTTTTGTTTGGAATGGTGGGATCCTGAGTATATCCAATAGCTGCTGACACTTTTCAAAGCTTTGTATAAATCTAATAGCTGCTTCGAGCAAATATTTGGCACAGGGCTGAAAATGTTGCTGACAGCCAGTGACTGGTGTTAGCAATGATGGGAAAATTTGCAAACCTCCCCTACCACAGTGAATTCTAAGAACTCTAAGTCATGACTAGACTGTTGGTATGTCAGAATAAACCTGTGCAACTGTGCTGATAATAATTTTGAAAGTATTTTACTATGTCTTCTTCCTAACACATGGAAGGAAAACTGAGTTGTATGTCTGAATAATTTGGTCTTGAGGCAAAGCTATGTTAACTCACCTGTACTGGCACATCCCTGCTAGCAATTGCATGCAATTACTTGGGTTTATGTATTGGGTAGGAGACTGTGTACCTTATCGCTTAAAATTTAGAAAAAAAAGAGTATTTTAACAACCGTCCATTTCATGGAGCATTATATCTGTACAGGACAAAACTGTGTCTTATCCATTAAGTAGAGATGACACAGCTATTTTAACAGTAGCTGGACAGTGAGAAGGGAATCTAGGAAAAAGAGAAAATAACTGATTTGAATACAAACATAATTGCAGATAAAACAAGCAGATTCAGATTTTTTTTTTTCTGAAAGAGTAAGGAGCAATATCATGAAAACCACTAGATAAGTTTCCCTGGCAGACTATTTTTTCTTTCTGAAACTTGCAGTGCTGGAAGGGAGAATTATTCATGGAGAAACTCTAGGTTAGGAGATCGTTAATAATTTCTGAAGATATTATGAGTAATTCAGGATTTGCTACTTATTGTTTTTATCATGGTAGTTGTACTGGGTCTGGCTGAGATAGAGTTAGTTTTCCCCAGAGCAGTCCTCGTAATGCTGTGCTTTGTATTGGTAGATAGAAAAGTGTTGCTACTACTGAGCACTGCTCCCAGGGCATCAAGGCCGTCTCTCCAACATTCCCACCTCACCAGTAGACTGGGGGTGGGCAAGATTTTGGGATCCAGTGGAGGACCCCACAGTGGAGCAGGTGGATGCCCAAAGGAGGCTGTGACCCCTGGAAAACCCATGCTGGAACAGGCTCCTGGCAGGATCTTTGGACCCGTTGAGAGAGGAGCCCACGCTGGAGCAGGTTTGCTGGCAGGACTTGTGACCCTGCGGGGAACCCACACTGGAGCAGTTTGTGAAGTACTGTAGCCTGTGGGAAGGACTCAGGTTGGAGAAGTTTGTGGAGGGACACCATGCTGGAGCAGGGGAAGAGTGTGAGGAGTCCTCCCCCTGAGGAGGAAGGAGCAGCAGAGACAATATGTGATGAACTGACCACAATGCTCATTCCCCATTCCCCTGCGCTGCTGGAGGGGAGGAGGTAGAGAAATCAGGAATAAAGTTGAGACCAGGAAGAAGGGAGAGGTGAGGGGAAGGTGTTTTAAGATTTTATTTATTTATTTATTTCTCATTATCCTACTCTGATTTGATTGTTAATAAATTAAACTCATTTCCCCAAGTTGAGTCTGTTTTGCCCATAACTGTAATTAGTGAATGATCTCTCCTTGTCCTTATCTCGACCCATGAACCTTTCATTCTATTTTCTCTCCCCTGTCCAGTTAAGGAGGGCAGTGATAGAGTAGCTTTGGTGGGCACCTGGCATCCAGCCAGGGTCAAACTACCAGAGTAGTACACAGGCACCAAATGCAAAATCAAGTGTCCATTAAGAAGTGGCACAGTGAGTAAGAGCTATGAAAAGGAGACAAAAGCAACAGTATGCATATGCTAATTTACATAACTTCGTGATCTGTAAGTACTATTCTGTCCCTTCCTATGACTGACCACTGCTTTTCTTTTTCTACTTTCTTAAGATCAGAAAATATCTCACAACTCTTGTCGTCAGCCATTTTGTGGTTTTTACTGCATGCATTATTTTTCTTGGCATTCAAATGTGGCATTTGGATCTTCAGCTCTTTCAGTTGGCAGGAGACCTACTCTTTGCTTCTTCTTTTTCCAGAGGGGACTCTGAGTCCCAACTTTTTTTCTATTCAGTGTTCAGCTTCCGGCAAACTAACATTTTTCTCTTCTCTGTCAACTCCTTAATGGTCTTTAGCTAGTTTAGAACAATAATCTGATTTTGGTCTTAATGAAGAGATCAAGCTCTCTACTATTAATCAAAATGCAACTAGTTTTCTTTAAATTTAATCAATTTTGCTGTACATTCAGACTGCAATAAAGACATTTCATTCTGCTATAGATTTGCCTATATTCAGCTTCATGTGTATGTTTTCTACTTTTCATTCCTTTATGACTTTTCCAGGTTCAGTCAAACACAGTTTAGGCAGAAAAGCAAAGGGAACTATTATAATATCAAATGCATTAAATGCATTATATCAAACAAGTTGTACTTCAAGTACATTATATTTTTATTAACAAATCAATAGGGTTATTTAGCAGAAAATAAGGAGTCTTTATTTCTCACTGATAGCCAACTGGAGTAACCAATCAAGTGGAGCCTTATTACAGTGATATTTAACAACGGATTTTATTTTATTAAAGATTTTAGCTTGTGTTAGTTACTACTTGTTCACTACCTCAAGGCACTACAATGGTTTATTTTACTGATAGTACAACCTAAGAGATTTTTTGATAGGTCTTTGGTCCGAATGAAGGGGTTGCTCTGAAGTTTTCTGCAGCAAATCACCTTTTTTTGTGTGTTGCTCTTCTATTTAAGCTCCTATAGTTCATTGGCAAGAAGCATCTCAAGTGCCTCAGTAGTCCCTGTCTAATTGTGTACAGATGCTAGCATTGTCTGGATCCCTATGTGTTTTACTTAAGATTTTATCTGCTCATGTGGTGTAGTACTGAGGATCTAAATTCCATCTCAGAACTTCTCATTCACCTTCTCTCTTCTCCTTCCTCACTCTGTGCTAAGCATAACACAGCCAAATGTCAAGATCTGACCTATGTTTAGGAATAAAAATTAAGTAGTGTAGTATCAGGTAATATAATTTTAAAATACTTAATCAGTTTATATATGAATGTATAAGTTTTGTAAGTTTTACTTGAATGTAAAAAGTATGCATAAAAATATGTATAAAAAGTTTATCCAGTAGAGATTGAAATTAATGTATTTAATGTTCACAGTGTACCAGTCAAAAAGATTTCTTTCAGTGTTAAATTGAAAGCATCTAAATTATTGGGTACTGTATTCAGGAACCTTCATTTTTCTTGTCTAATAACTTTTTAGCACACGGTAAAATTTCTGATAATACTGAAGAGCAAATGTAGCTTGATATAGAATCCTTCATTTCAGTATTTACTTAGTCCTGTACTTTATATTATACTTCAGTGTTTTAATGAACTGTTAGTAAAAACAAAAATATATTAAATTCAAGCACAAATATTCTTAATCTACCAGCCATGAAGAGCTTTTAGTACTACATAGTACCTCGTACCCAGTGAAAAATATGGAATATGTCATACACTGATAATTCAGTAGATATATTTAAAATTAGACAATGATGACATCTTGTGATGAAATCCTTGAATGGGTTTACAGGAACTTTGGCTTATATTTTCTTACTAGTGAAATCCGGGAAGACTTCTTTTAGATCTCCAGGGGAATCTCTTAAGAAGAAATTAGAGGAGGAATGAAAGGAGAGAATCAAAACTGGCTGAGTATGGTCATGAGGACTTCATCCACAGCATACATTCAGAACCAAAAAAATTAAAACAGAGCTTTCAGTTTGGTAGAAGTACAGGTATTGTAGGAGTAAACTTGAAACTACAGAGAGGAAGATGGCTGCCGATGTCCTCTGAGGACATGTAGCATTCAACATCTGAATAGCTTAGCACTGAAATCAAAAGCAGGACTGCTGACCAGGGAGCAAGTAGGACCTAATCTCAATGGTAAAAGACAAAAAACACAGTAGCCTGAGGAGTACAGAGCTTCTATTACCAAGAGGAAATAAAAGATGGTGCTGGCTAGTGACCTCCTACTCAAGGTGATGTGGAAACTTCTGCACCACCTGGCACTTACAGTATGGCTGGTGTGTTTCTTCACAAGTGTCCAAATTTGCCAAGTTGTAAAAGATTCTATTGACTGCTAGCATACAATAAAGAATATTGATGATACTGCAAAGAATGATTCTAAGCAAATCAAAAGTGCTTAGAAGGATCTGTGACAATAGATAAAAAGGTTGAAAATTCAAGAGATATTATTGTCTCTCCTCTCACATCCAAGTCAGGCATCAGTCAGATATACCCTAAATATAACTACATGCCTTCTATTCTGAGAGAAGAGAACTTTAAATTAAGAACTATGTGGCAAGGACAAAAAAAATCTTCATCTTAATGCAAACCGGACATAGGTCTAACCCCTGAGAAAGATAGGATTATTTAAAACAGGAATAAAGTGATTAGACAGAGAGTCATGGGTCAGTTTTCCAGGTATCTTAGCTGTTTGTATGCTAAAGGTAGAAGAAAGAGGAACAGAGAAGAATTAACAGAGGAATTGATGAATAGACAAGGGTTAACTGAAGATTATGACAAAATTGGCATTGTAGACAATTTATCATATATATTACACTAATAGTTCAGTCATGTAGAGGATATAACTTCTTCAGTAAGGGAAGAAAAGAGGAAATGTTGGCTTGTATTTCAATAATAATAATGGTTGCTTTGA